TCAGTTTAATAACTGTGTCAAGTTCATTAATTATGGACTGAGTTCAATTCATCTATATAGCAGCTGTGTAGAAAACAGTGATGTTGTTGTTATTCGGCTCAGTTTAGTTCTCATCCAATAGTGTCTGTGTAGTCAAGTCAATAATATTACCAAATGTTAAGTAATATTAAGTCCAAATAAGCAAGCCAAAAGGCAACAGTCAGTGGCAAGGAACCCAAACTCCATCAGTGACAGAAATAGAGAAACAAAAAACCTTGGGAGAAACCAGGGCCAGGTCTAGTCTGGTTCCTGTGGTCTTTGCTGAAGATTTGTGCCAATGACCATCTAGTTGACAAATATATTAAATCTATAAATACTCTTTTTTTCCCTGAAATATTCAGTTAATCTTCATTGCTCAAAATTTGAAGGAATATTAGCTGTAGGTATACCACTGATCCAATAACATGTTTGACAAAATAACCAAGGCATTTCAACAAAAACCTTTATTTTGTGAAAACACGGTGATCAAAATTAGAGAACAGTAACCACTTTAGCACGAAAGAAGATTACAACTTAAATTTTGTAGGGTTACAGTTGTCAGAAATTATTAGCAAATATAGAGGCCCTTGCTTTGAATGACTTCAGCACATCTGCGGCCGCAGGGCATTACTAGTTTCTCGCACTGCGCTGGTCTTGGTCCACTCATCTTCCATAGTTTGGTAACTGTAGTGGGTTTCTTAGCCATAACTTTGTCGCCAAGGATTTTCCAGAGATTTTCAGTTGGGTTTAGATCAGGACTCTGAGCTGGCCATTTCATTATTTCAATATTCTTGGCTTTAAGGAACTGCTTTACCAATTTTGCAGTGTGACCCTGCTAAGTAGCTGTATAAGAGGCCCAACTCCTGCTGCAGAAAACATCCCCCAAACCATGACACTTCCTCCTCCACATTTCACTGACTTCTTAACACACTTGGGCTTCGGTCTTTCCCCAGTTTGATGCCAAACAAAATGTTTCCCATCAGACCCAAATAAATTAAACTTGCTCCCATCAAAGTGAACTTGGGACCAGTTCTCCTCTCTCCACATAACATGCTCCTCAGCAAATGTGAGCCTAGCCTTTTGATTATTTCTGCTAATGAGAGGCTTGGTCACTGCAGAGTACGCTGTCAGTCCAATTTCTCTTAAACATGCTGAGACAGATCCATACCCTGTTCATCGCTGATCTGGCGAGCAATTCTAGCTGCAGTGTTGAACCGATTCCCCCATTGAAAGTCTCTGCATTATTCTGTCCTCTTGTGCACTTGTCTAACATGGACAACCAGCCTTTTGGGGGGACTTGAATTAGTGTCATTGTAAAGCTGCAACATATGAAATCACAGATTTGGAATAACCAACTTCTCTTGCAATGACTGACAAGGTCATCCCTTTGGCCTTCATCTGGACCACCTCCTGTCGCAGGCTTTCAGTCACCTTAAAGCAGCCTGCAATCTTGCATTCTCAGTGAAAAATGGAAGAATGCTGCCAGTTAAATAGGGTTTGTCATATAATAAAGGAAGTCAGCACCAGGTGCCAGATTCACATTAATAACTTGTTGGAGGTATCTGTAAGTTATTTTTCAAATATCTAATTTAAGTTTGTTATACTGTGCTTCAAAATTCAATTAAATTATGAAATATGCTTAAAAAACTGCCCTTCACACCTGTTAGGATAACTTCAAATAGGACTAAGCAGTGACCTTGAAATTTAAGAAATTGTAAATTGTTCTCTGATTTTGATCTCCACTATAATCTCCAATATGCTGGCTAATGCTAAACGTAAATTCAATAAGATTGTTATTCACGTCGGCACTAATGATGTTCAACTTCGCCAGTCGGAGATCACTAAAAATAACATTAAAGAGGTGTGTGAACTCCAGTGGTGGGCCATCAGGGCCAGCAAGGCCTTCTCTGCTGGCCTAAACAGAATCACTGACTTAGTTTTAATATATTTTTTTTCCTGGAATGTGTATTAAATTATTCCAATAGTCTATTCTCGTCATTTCATAGCTTTTCTCTTGGTTGCGCTGTTCCAGTATGTTTATATTAGAGCTTTTATCCAAACATATTTCAGCAATCGTGTGTTGCCAGGGTCAAAGAAATCTGCCTTGGGACCTTCAGAATCAACAGTCCTGGCGCTCTAGAATCAATTTGTCTTAATTCCTCAGCATATCCAATAGCTCAGAAAAACTTGGTGTAACAGAAAACAAACACAACCCCAGGTATTTATTCAATACAGTGGCTAAATTAAATCATTGATATTACTAAAAAGTTGGACCAGGTGTGTTTAATTAGGATTGAATTTAAACTCTGCAGTGCTCCGGTCCTCGATCCAGGAATTGAGTTTGACAACCCTGGATTAACTGATGCGTCAAGTCAAGTCACTTTTATTTATATAGCATTTTATACAATACAGATTGTGTCAAAGCAGCTTTAGAGTGTTAAACATGAAAAACGTGTGCTGATAATGCAAGAGGACAATAGAAAACAGTCAGTTTATCAGTTAAAATTAATTCATTGTTGATTCAGTGATGTCATCATCCAGCTCAGTTCAGTTCTCTTCCAATAGTGTCTGTGCAGTCAAGTCAACAATGTTTCCAGAAATTGTCTCCCCAACTAAGCACGCCAAAGGCGACAGTGGCAAGAACCAAAACAGACAGAAATGGAGAAATCGGTGACAGAAATGGAGAAAAAAACCTTGGGAGAAACGAGGCTTAGTTGGGGGGCCAGTTCTCCTCTGGCCAGATGAAACCAGCATGGTGTGGTTTAATTCCAGTCTGCAACGCACATCAGATTGAGCAGAGGACTCGTCTGGTTCTCGTGGTCTTGTGCCGATGGACGACGCACAGGGGATCTGTCTCTAGGTTTCATCTAGTTGACATGGCCTCCGCTGAGATTCAGGGCTGTAGAGGTCATCTCTAGGTGCTGATCCACCATCTGGACTGGATGATACTAGATCCAGGTGACTGCAGTGACCATCTGATCTGGATATGGACTGGATCTGGGTGGCTACGGTGACCTCAGAATAAGCATAAAACAGACTAATATTAGCGTAGATGCCATTCTTCTTACGATGAAACAAGTACATTGGGTGTTATGGGAAGTGTTCCCGGTTCTGGCTGACCTAGTTAATGCAGCCTAACAATCTTTTAACGGATCTGAATTATAGAAAAGTGATCGTGTATTATGTGTATGCCAGGTTAAAGAGATGGGTCTTTAATCTAGATGCCTCCCAAACAATGCTAGGTAGATTGTTCCAGTTTGGGCACTAAATGGTAAAAAGTTTTTGCCGCCCGCAGTTGATTTTGATATGTATTATCAAATGGCTAGAATTTTGAGATCGCAGCAGACGTGAAGGACTATAATGCGATAAGAGCTCGCTCAAACACTGAGGAGCTAAACCATTCAAGGCTTTATAAGTAATTAGCAAGATTTTAATGTATACAATGTTTAATAGGGAGCCAGTGCAGAGTTGACAGAACCGGGCTAATATGGTCATACTTCCTGGTTCTAGTAAGAACTCTAGCTGCTGCATTTTGGACCAGCTGGAGTTTGTTTATCAAGTGCGCAGAGCAACCACCCAATAAAAGCATTACAATTATCTAACTTTGAGGTCATGAACGAATGAATTAACGCTTCTGCATTTTACATTGAGAGCATAGGTTGTAATTTAGATATATTTTTAAGATGAATGAAGATGAACCTGTTGATTTTCAGGCCGCAAAGAAATATAGAGCTGAGTATCATCAGCATAACAATGAAAGCTGATGATATCCCCCAAGGGTAGCATGTAAAGCGTGAAAAGCAACGGTTCTTGTACTGAGCCTTGTGGTACTCCATACTGCACTTGTGAACAATATGACACTTCTTCATTCACTGCTGTGAATTGATGACGGTCAGATAAGTATGAGTTGAACCATGCCAATGCAATTCCACAAATGCCAACATAATTTTCTAGTCTATTCAAAAGAATGTTATGGTCGATAGTGTGGAACGCAGCACTAAGATCCAGTAGCACTAATAGAGCGATACAACCACAATCAGATGATAAGAGCAGGTCATTTTTAACTCTGATGAGAGCAGTCTCTGTACTACGGTCTAAATCTGACTGGAAATCCTCACAAAGACCATTTTTCTCTATGAAAGAACATAGTTTTGAGGAGACCACCTTTTCTATCAATGATGAATTAATGATATTCAGAAGAGGATCTATGACTTCTGGATGCACCTCTTTTAGTAACTTAGATGGTATAGGGTCTAACATACATGTTGTTGGTTTAGATGATTTAACAAGTTTATACAATACTTCCTGTCCTATAGCAGAGAATGAGAGTGGAATAGTTCCTCAGGGAATCTATAGTGCACTGTCTGATGCAATACTGTAGCTGACAGCTGCATGGATATAATTTTATCTCTAATAGTATCGATCTTGGAAGTACAGAAGTTCATAAAGTCATTACTGCTGTGCTGTTGGTAAATGTCTGCGCATGCTGATGCTTTATTTTTTTTGTTAATGAGGCATACTCCTATTTAAGATACAGTGGCTTCATAACCATAGGCTACTTGCAAATGCTCCTGTAAAAAGGGCAATGCATACTGCATTAATTCACTTCTATGATCTAATCTTTCTCAGTGAAAACATTTACTGACAACCTTACTTAGAATACATCTAGGCTGTGTTTGCTTACACTGAAAATGTCAGGTTGATTTATAGTTTTCTATGAGTTGCCCCGGTCTGTCTCTCCACATAACATACAGCAGATGGAAGCAGAGATTTAAAATAATACACACGTAACTTTCCATTGTAACTTATTAAACCATTTCCGTTGACATCTTATTCTAATAGCATTGTTCTATGACAAAGACAAACTGATGTTCCAAAAGAAACAATGAATCGATCCTCATCATTCTTGGTATCACCCCAGTAGACTGACGCGAACAGCTGGAGAAGGGAGAAGGGCTTGATGTTGTGACGCCCCACGTGTGTTCTGCGCGAGAATAAATAGCACACACGAGCGAGCACACACAGCCGAAAGCACTTCGGCCTGTTAGACACCAAAATGTTTACCTGCATCAACACTTCGTGCAGTGAGATTTAATTCGCGGGTGATTGACATGATGATATAATTCGAAATGTCTGGATGACCTTCTCATCGGAAGCGCTGGGAATGACAATGTCTCCAGTTTTTCCAGTTTTACTTCAGGCAGCTGGAAGCCGCAAACCATAAAGCGACTCTTCGGTGCAACCCGACACGGACGAATGCCTTAAATATTATTGTCATCATTTGTCATGATGGACTGTCTATCACGCAATGCGTACTGGCCTCTTATTCGCTTTCTGTTGCCGCTAGCCATTACTAATATAGCCATCGACTTCGGAGAACAGGTGAGATATGATGCCTTTGAACCTGAACACTCTGCTATTTTGACATGCAATCGCTTTTTACGGCACGAACACCAGTGAAATGTTTGTAAATATACACGTTGGGCTTGTTTAGATGCATGAATGTCAGGTTGAGTCCAGTAATGCTGGGTTAGTATTGATCATGAATCTTAGGGTGGCGTGGCGTAGTGGTGAGCTAGTAATCTAAAGGTTTTAGGTTTGAATCTTACTAGGTTTGATCCGTGACGTGCCCTTGTTCCCTTGAGCAAGGAAACTTTACAATGAAAGTAGATTTTCAAAGTTGAACTGTGTTTTTTTTTGTTTTTTTGTATGTTACCTTGTACATTTGTATTATTTCGTGAATTGTTTTGTCCTTGATAATTTAGCTGAAAAGCTTACAATCTAGAATTTCCCTGAATGCAACTGGTTTCAAGTCTATTGGTATTTTCCCCTGCCACTAATAGTGGAAAAGTTCAACAGTTAAGGTTTTTTTTTTTTTTTTTGCAGATTTTAAGGTATGTATCTGAATTGACTTAAAAACCTACCCTGAGAAATATGAACTTGTTTAAAAGTGTCACATCTAGCCCAGGCCTCCCCTAAGTGTAAGTTGCTTTGAAGCATCAGCCAAATTATTAACCAAATTAACAACTTGTTGTCCAGATGCCTTTTGTCAGGCATCACTGCAAATAAAACTATGTTCTATCTCTGGCACTTACTGCATGGATAACCATTTGCTTTAAATTATTGATTGAATTTCCCAGAATGCAATAGGTTTTTAGTCATTTCTCGAGGATGTCATTTCTCTGTGTATGAGTATTCCCTTGCATAACATGCTACCAAGACTGCCACCCAAAGTAAAAAGTTACAGACTGATCCAACTTGCATGAATTTCATCATGGCAACTCGTAATGTAAGTGTGTAGTGTTTATGGCCCCCATGTGTCTGTATGCACGAATGTCTGTGCATGCTCCTGATGAGATAGTGGATTGTTTCCTGCAGGATCTCCTGCCAGACATGGATCAGGGCATCACTAAGCTCCTGGACAGTCTGCGGTGCTAATAACCACCAACTGTTTGATTACCAGCAATCTTCAAAATATCTTCTTTTATGTTCAACATAAGAAAGCAACTCATACAGGTTTGGAACGACATGAGGATGAGTAAATGATGACAGCATTTTCATTTTTGGGTGAACTATCCCTTTAAGTCACACATTGAATCTCGATAAACAAAGTAATCAAGTTGAAAATATTTACTTGTACACATTGTGTAATTTGTTGATAACAAAATTGTGAAAATAGTCAGTGGAAGCCAAAACCCATTGAGGGCTGGATTCAAAATCACACTGAAAACCAAAGTAAAAAGTTACAGACTGATCCAACTTGCATGAATTTCATCATGGCAACTCGTAATGTAAGTGTGTAGTGTTTATGGCCCCCATGTGTCTGTATGCACGAATGTCTGTGCATGCTCCTGATGAGATAGTGGATTGTTTCCTGCAGGATCTCCTGCCAGACATGGATCAGGGCATCACTAAGCTCCTGGACAGTCTGCGGTGCTAATTAGCGGATTTGGATGCTCCAATACATAACATCCCAGAGGTTCTCAATTGGATTCAGGTCTGGGGAATGTGAGGGTCAGTCAATGCCTTCGTCATCCAGGAGCTGCCTACGCACTCTTGCCACAGGATTTCATTCTGACAGTTTGGTCAAAAACATGCACACAGCTGGAGGTCATTTCAGAGGGCTCTGGCTGTGCTCCTTCTGTTCCTTCTTGCACAAAGGAGCAGATACTGGTTCGACTACTGGTTGTTGCCCCTGTCCTGCTCTCCTTATGTAACAGCCTGTCTCCCAGAATTTCCTCCATAATTTCTTGTGGACAGTCTGTGGTGCTAATTGGCGGATGTGGATGCTCCAATACATAACATCCCAGAGGTTCTCAATTGGATTCAGGTCTGGGGAATGTGAGGGTCAGTCAATGCCTTCGTCATCCAGGAGCTGCCTACGCACTCTTGCCACATCAGGGCCACGTAAGATCTGACAGTGGCTCTGAGGATTTCATTCTGACAGTTTGGTCAAAAACATGCACACAGCTGGAGGTCATTTCAGAGGGCTCTGGCTGTGCTCCTTCTGTTCCTTCTTGCACAAAGGAGCAGATACTGGTTCGACTACTGGTTGTTGCCCCTGTCCTGCTCTCCTTATGTAACAGCCTGTCTCCCAGAATTTCCTCCATAATTTATTGTGGGCATTTGTTATACTGCTGCCGTAAATGCCATAGAACTGCATAATTTTTTAACTACGTGCAAATGCTGCATCACCGTGGCCAAATAAAATAGAAAATAATAATTTTAAAAAACTGTGAAGTTGGTAGCCAGCTAGTTGAAAAGACTGTATAAAATCTAGCTACAGCGACACCTGCACCCTTTTAATTCTCTTTCTTTCATTTTAATTATCTTCTGTTACTGTGGCTTCAGTGGAGCGCTCATTTTCAAAACTGAAGCTAATACAAATTATTTGCTGAACTCCATGTCAATGAGCAGACTATTGAAACTAGCCATTCTTACCATTGAGAATACATAAAACCTTAGATTAAACACCTAAGACATTGTGCAAGAATTTGCTGAAAGAAAGGCTTGGAGAATGCAATTAAATTGAGTGAGTAGTTTTTTTTTTGTGCATTTTGGGCCGCTGTGCCAAAATTGTGCTTGCATGCAGTAGTTTAATAAATACAGCTGTGTTTTAGTGCCACGTTAAATAATAATAATAATAATACATCTAAAATTAAGAGATTAAAGTCTTAATATTTTATGAGAAGAAAGCCATGTTATATTGCCTGTATAAAGTTAATTAATGTGAAAAAAGCCAACTAACCTTGCAACCTTGGATTCAACATGAAAAACAGCAATAAAAATGAAGTTATAAAGTTTGAAGTATGTACAATGTTGGCAAAGAATGTTTTGTTATGACTGTTACGACGATTCACAAGCTATTTTATTGACCTATTTTTTTTTTCCAAAACATTGATTGATCGATTACATGAGACTTAATTACATTCATTTTATTAAATTGTTCTGATTTTTGTCAACATGCCTGATATTCATTAATGTTTGTTTCGTGCTATAGCTAATAGAAAAGAGTAAAAGATGATTGATTCACCACTTGAACTGAGGTGAATAACAATGATCTCACGCAACATTAAAGAGCGTAAAAACACATTATTTGTTTGTATTCTGTGATCAAATTGACAGAATTTAAAGGCTGAGACTCTGTGTTATATTAAAAATAACAAGCACAAAGCCTATTGCGATTATTAGGTGGCTGACGCGCTACTAATAATAAATGGATTTGAAAACGTTAAGTATTATTTCCAGGCATTTATACCATCAATAATACAGCTTGTAAATAGTCACGTAACATAATTTTCCTCAGAAAAGACCACAATAAGCTAACATAAGTTAAGTCAGGAAGGATAAGGAGAGAGCAATTGTCTGTGACCACCACCTGCAAAACCATTTCCTTTTTGTTGTCTTGCTTTTGCCTCTCTAGTGCACCTGTTGTCACTTGCACTAAAGAAGATAAAACTGATTCACAATCACTTCTGCTTCCTATCCCTGTTTAATTGTCTGGTGTTATACTGTGATTATTAGGTGGTCTCTTAATTGTTTTGAGCTGTCTTTATACATGTACACACACACACACACACAGCAATGAAACGTGCCCTTTCTCTTTCTCATGCCTGATTCAGGCACTAAACAGGGGCATCGCTTCTGTGAAAGAGGACAGGGTTGAGATGTTGGCCAGCTATGGTCTGGCATACTCGCTTATGAAGTTCTTCACTGGACCCATGAGCGACTTCAAAAATGTGGGACTCGTGTTTGTCAACAGTAAGAAGGAGAGAACCAAGGCAGTCCTCTGTATGGTTGTGGCTGGGGTCATTGCCATCAGCCTCCACATCCTAATAGGTGCGTCTGTCCTGTGAATACAATTTCTAGTTTACTAGATTTCCTCATTGGAAAGCCTTTATTAAAAACTGTCACATTTCCCCAGCTTACACAGATCTGGGCTACTACATCATAAATAAGCTCCACCATGTGGATGATTCAGTAGGAAACAAAACGAGAAAGGCATTCCTGTACCTCGCAGTATTTCCATTATTAGATGCAATGGTGAGTAAGAACTTCATATTAAAACTTTAATATGAGATTCAAGATCATCTTTTGGATTAGAATTCAAATAGCTTTTGCTGCATACTTTGCTTACGTACGATTTTTGGTGAAATAGCATGGGCTATGCAAATAAAATTATTAATTTGATTTGTGTAAAAATGCAGTAAATCTTGCAGAGTCAAACAAGAGGTGTAAGAATTGCAGCTACTTGTTATTGTTGTTATAAAATGCAAATGGAGGGTCACATTTAGCACATTGCATTGTGGTATACAGAATTTTGAGCACTATATTCTGTATACTGCAGTTGTTGGTTTTATTATAGTATAGTTTCCATGTGGTATTCCATGCATGCAGATAATTCACTGTACGCAGTATGCATACTGCAGAAATAATCAAAGTAGAATGGTACATACTTTTTTTCATTTGTACTAATTTGATTTTGCTCCAAAGGCATGGATTCATGCTGGAATCCTCCTGAAGCACAAGCACAGCCTGCTAGTGGGATCTGCCTCCATCTCTGATGTTGTTGCACAGGTTGTAAACTCTATAAACTGCTGTATGCTAAGTTCCTGTCATCACCCCTTGTGCCACAATTGAAAAAAAAGTGTTGTACTGAATGTTTGAAATGTCAAATTTAGGTCTGATATTCAAATGTTAAACATTTATTAAATCTCTTATCAGCAAAGAGGCAGAGAAAAAGCAGGAAGCAGGAGATAAAGTGATGTTACAACTGATCAGAGTTTATTAAATAATCTTAGTTGAATATTTCTGTTTAGTTGTCCTTCTGATTAGCACAAACAAGCAAAGGGAAATTACTGCTTCCCAACATTGTTGGCTTATTTAGAATAAGGTAAATAATTAGATTACTGATGTCCGTGTAAACGTAGTCATTGTCTTTGACCTTGAATGGACAATTTGCCTTATTTCTAACAAATTGTCTTATTTCTTTATTTATAGGCCACAAAGATATGATTAAAATAAACAATAATATCAAAACAATGTCAAATGGTACATACACTACTGTTCAAAAGTTTGAGGTCGGTATGATTTTTTAAAAAGTTTTTGAAAGAGGTATCTAATGCTTACTAGGGCTGCACAATTAATCAAATTTCTAATCATGATTACAATTACGGATGCCACAATTACATAATCGTTCAAAGCGGCAATTAATCGTTCAAAGTCCACTTATGTTATTCTGCGTGCTTAAGATGTGTTTTTTTTTTTATACAGGTTAGCTTAAGGCTTTTTCCATTGTTTAAATTTTAGTTTTAGTGTCACATTATAATACCATGCAAATTTTTACTTTAATAGACTTTTATAGACTTAATACTATAGAAAAGCAATAAAAGTGAGTGTGTTCAGCTTCTTTATTTTCATATAAAAATATGGCATGCAGTTGCTTCTAACAATGGTATAAACATCATTCAATGTAAATTGTGGCAATCATAATTAATAAACGCAATTACAATTTCAAGAGAATAATCGACAATTATGATTTTTGTTTCAGAGTTGGTTTAGATTTGACAAAACCAAACAATATCCCACCTGGTTTATATCAGGTTCAGCAGGCTCACAGCGCTCGATATAAACATCCTCTGTCAACTCAGGGTTTGATCCAGAGTTTCTGATTAACTCTGGAGCACGTGCACCTGAAAGTGTGACACTTGCAGCAAACAGCCAATCACAAAGAACATGGAAAGCGTCAGTTTGATTCACTTTTCGTGAGAGTTGGCACAATACACTTCTCTGCTGAAGATTAAGAGATGTTGTTTTAAAAAAATATTATGAATTTAAATGCATTTACAATGCAGAAATAAACTGCTGCTGCAGCAAAAGTTTGATAAGGCAACAGAAATAAAATATCTGACTATGCAAATGAATCAACTGAATTTAAGAATTTACAGTGGGTATAGAAAAGAATCACCTCCCTTTAAAATAATCACATTTTGTTGCTTTGCAGCCTGAAATAAAGACGGACACAGTTTTTGTTTTTGCTTTAACATCCAAGTGAAAGATATAACACCAACATGTCAGAAAAAAAAAAAAAAAACAGAATCACTGAGTTGAAAAAAGTATCACCCTTTCTTCAAAATGACTTGTAAACTCAATCAGGTGTAGCCAATCACCTTCTCAATGGCACACAAACCCATGTGACTTTCAGCTGTGGTCAGTCATTTTGATTAGCTCAGCATGAAAAGAGCTTTCCTGGAGCATTTCAGTCCTTGCTAGTGCAAATGAAGCAAACAATCAACTATGAGGGGCAAGACAGTGGCTACATTTACATGCAACCAAATAATCCGTTTGTAATCGGATTGACGGCTCAATTGGACTGAAAAGCCTTCATGTTAACACCTTAATCGATCTGGTTGAGCTCGATCGGAATTACATTTCGATCGGATTGAAGGGGGTGGTTTATTCCTTTTCTAATACGATTGAGAGTGCATGTAAACACTTGATTGGATTGAACCCCGAAACTGGAAGCACTGTGCATGTGCAATGACGCAGAAATAGCGTAATGTATGTCACGCGGAACGAGCGGCTCTTCCTTTTTAATGTAGTGTTGTATAAATGCGTGTCCTGTCATTATAAAACTCTCCTTTCACTGTGAAGTGGAGCAGGATAACCTCCCACCACTCCTTGTTTTGGATTCTCATCCACAGGCAGCCCATTTTGGGTGCGGGCATTTTTACTGCGTGATAAGTATGAGCAGCACGGCACTGCGGTTTATATGTATATGTATATTTATGTATATGTATATGGTTTATATGTATATTTATCCATAAATGGATAAATATTAATTCTGCTGTTAAAAACAAATAAAGAAAGTGTTTATGCGCAAACAGTAAGAAACTCTACATTTGTGCAGTGTGCGCATGTAAAAAAATATCAATTCCGATTTGAAGCTTGTGACATATAAACGCGCACATCACCCCGATCACTTTATTTAACGTTCATGTAAACACTACATTCAGATTCATCAATCGGAATGAATTCAGTCCGATTGAACCAAAAATTGTGCACGTAAACGTAGCCACTGTCAAAAGATCTCAAAGTCTTTATCAATGCCTATAAGCACAGTGAAGTCTATGTGGAAGGTATTTGGTACAACACAGACCCTCCCTGGATCAGGACGTCACTCCAAACTGGATGAAAGAGCCAAGAGGCCAACAGCAATTCTGAAGCAGTTGCAGGAATTTATGACAGAGTGGTCATTGTGTGCATGTGACAACAATATCACAAATTCTCCACAAATGTGGCTTGTATGGGAGGGTTGCAAGAAAAAAGCCACTTCTCAAGAAAGGCCACATGCAGTCATGACTGAGCTTTGCCAAAAACACACCTTAAAGATTCTGAGGCAAATGAGACTAAAATTGAATTATTTGGCCTCAACGCCAAACAATTTATATGGCTAACATGACAATGGGCCAAAGCACACAGCAAAACTGACCACACAGTGGTTGAAGGAGAAACAGGTGAATGTTCTTGCATGGCTTAGTCAGAGCCCAGACTTAAACCCAAATGGAAATCTGTGGAATGACTTGAAGACTGCAGTCCACAAACAGTCACCATTAAATTGAACTGAATTTGAGCAGTTCTGCAAATATTGCAAAGTCTAGATGTGCAAAGTTAGTAGAGACAAATCCCAACAGACTAAAGGCTGGAATTAAAGCAAAAGGTAGTTTAACAAAATACTGACACAAGGATCCTTTTTCCAACTCAGTGATTCAGTTTTTTTTTTTTTTATTGTTTTCTGACATGTTGGTGTTATATCTTTCACTTGGATGTTAGCAATTGTCAGGATAGAAGGAAAAATAGATGAGACAAAATACCATCAAATTCTTGAGGAAAATCTGCTGCCCTCTGCCAGGAACTTGTCGATGGGAAGAAGGTTTACTTTCAAACATGACAATGGGCCAAAGCACACAGCAAAACTGACCACACAGTGGTTGAAGGAGAAACAGGTGAATGTTCTTGCATGGCTTAGTCAGAGCCCAGACTTAAACCCAAATGGAAATCTGTGGAATGACTTGAAGACTGCAGTCCACAAACAGTCACCATTAAATTGAACTGAATTTGAGCAGTTCTGCAAATATTGCAAAGTCTAGATGTGCAAAGTTAGTAGAGACAAATCCCAACAGACTAAAGGCTGCAATTAAAGCAAAAGGTAGTTTAACAAAATACTGACACAAGGATCCTTTTTCCAACTCAGTGATTCTGGTTTTTTATTTATTATTATTATTTTTTCTGGTATGTTGGTGTTTAATCTTTCACTTGGATGTTGTAAGTTGCACTGAGTAAATACAGCTGGATAAAACAAATACTGTGCCCGTCTTTAAAATGTGCAAAGCAACAAAATGCGATTATTTTAAAGGCGGTGATTCTTTTCTATGACTACTGTATATAGTTTCACAAAGAGCTCAAAAGAAAACACATAAGTTTAGTCGTTTTAAAAGCTTTTATATATATTAAAGCTTATTTATATGTTTATAGTTAAATTAATTTAAATGCAAAGTTTAATATTAATTGTCAGTTCATACAAATAAGTAATTATAATTCGTATAATATAGATAATAGAATAAATAATTAACAGCAAAAGAAGGGCGATTTTGTCTGTAAAGTTCTCTCACTGTAAACTGCTTTAATTTGAAGCAAAAGTTACAGGGGGAGTGGCTTTATTACATCAGATATGTCACTTTGCTCACAGCTGATTGGTCCAGTTTGGGTTTTTGATCATTAACCCAGAATGAAACCTACATACAGGGTATGCTGCAGTCAGTGTAAGTTACGAAACCTGCTCAAAACCAACCCAACATTTTGAGCCTGAAAGCTCAGAGTTTGCTCAAACTAAATGCGAACTTACCTAGGTAAAAAACTAAACTGGCTTTGTCCAACAGGCCTCAAGTCTGAATTTATTTGATATAGTAAAAACAGTAATATTGTGTAAAATATTGCAACTGTTTTCTATTTGAATACATTTTAAAATGTAATTTATTCCTTTGATGGCTAAAAAAGAAATTTTTTTTTCTTCAGTCGTCAGTATCATATGATTCTTCCAAAATCATTCTAATATGCTGATTTGGTGCTCAAGTAACATTACTATTATTCATTTTGAAAAAAGTTGTGTTGCTTAAATAGTTTTGTGGAAACCCTGATACATTTTTTCAGGATTCTTCGATGAATTGAAAGTTCTAAAGAACAGCATTTATTTAAAATATAATTCCAGCCCCAGTGGAGCTGGATGCGTGAACATGATTTAATTAAACTAATATTAAATAGTTTAACATATATACACATCATGTATATGCAAATCTGGCAGTTTGTTTTATTTTAAATGTGCTACCTGCCAAAGAGCTATTTTGAGCATGCATTTTGCATTGCAAATTTGCATAGCATGAAGCAGCAACAGCGTATCTCTTTTTTAACTATTGCATACATAAATATTTTTGCAGGTTTGTCATGTGTTAAAACATGCACTTAAACTTGCCCAATATTTAATTGATTCTTGACTCTTTCTAGATGTGCAAAGTTAGTAGAGACAAATCCCAACAGACTAAAGGCTGGAATTAAAGCAAAAGGTAGTTTAACAAAATACTGACACAAGGATCCTTTTTCCAACTCAGTGATTCTGGTTTTTTATTTATTATTATTATTTTTTCTGGTATGTTGGTGTTTAATCTTTCACTTGGATGTTGTAAGTTGCACTGAGTAAATACAGCTGGATAAAACAAATACTGTGCCCGTCTTTAAAATGTGCAAAGCAACAAAATGCGATTATTTTAAAGGCGGTGATTCTTTTCTATGACTACTGTATATAGTTTCACAAAGAGCTCAAAAGAAAACACATAAGTTTAGTCGTTTTAAAAGCTTTTATATATATTAAAGCTTATTTATATGTTTATAGTTAAATTAATTTAAATGCAAAGTTTAATATTAATTGTCAGTTCATACAAATAAGTAATTATAATTCGTATAATATAGATAATAGAATAAATAATTAACAGCAAAAGAAGGGCGATTTTGTCTGTAAAGTTCTCTCACTGTAAACTGCTTTAATTTGAAGCAAAAGTTACAGGGGGAGTGGCTTTATTACATCAGATATGTCACTTTGCTCACAGCTGATTGGTCCAGTTTGGGTTTTTGATCATTAACCCAGAATGAAACCTACATACAGGGTATGCTGCAGTCAGTGTAAGTTACGAAACCTGCTCAAAACCAACCCAACATTTTGAGCCTGAAAGCTCAGAGTTTGCTCAAACTAAATGCGAACTTACCTAGGTAAAAAACTAAACTGGCTTTGTCCAACAGGCCTCAAGTCTGAATTTATTTGATATAGTAAAAACAGTAATATTGTGTAAAATATTGCAACTGTTTTCTATTTGAATACATTTTAAAATGTAATTTATTCCTTTGATGGCTAAAAAAGAAAAATTTTTTTCCTTCAGTCGTCAGTATCATATGATTCTTCCAAAATCATTCTAATATGCTGATTTGGTGCTCAAGTAACATTACTATTATTCATTTTGAAAAAAGTTGTGTTGCTTAAATAGTTTTGTGGAAACCCTGATACATTTTTTCAGGATTCTTCGATGAATTGAAAGTTCTAAAGAACAGCATTTATTTAAAATATAATTCTTTTGTAACATTATTAATGTCTTTACTGTCACTTTTTTATTTTTTGATTTGCAATTTAATGCATTCTTGCTGAATAAAAGTATTAATTTCTAAAAAAAAAAAAATAAATACACTGTCTTTAATGCCAATTTGGATCAATTGAATGTGTCCTTGCTGAATACAAGTATTAATTTCAAAAAAAAAAAAAAAAAAGTACTGACCAAGCTTTTGAATGGTAGTATAAATAAGTAAAAAAAAATTAAAATGTCAATGAAAAAAATTGTCATACGACAGCACAATAAGCACAACACAAAAACAAAACAAAAAAAAACAACAAAAAAAGACATGACATTTTAACATTAAACATTTTAAAGTAATGTAGCATAGTTTAAAGTTAAATAGTGATAATATTTATAATATTATTTAACTAACATGATTTAATTAAACTAATATTAAATAGTTTAACATATATACACATCATGTATATGCAAATCTGGCAGTTTGTTTTATTTTAAATGTGCTACCTGCCAAAGAGCTATTTTGAGCATGCATTTTGCATTGCAAATTTGCATAGCATGAAGCAGCAACAGCGTATCTCTTTTTTAACTATTGGATACATAAATATTTTTGCAGGTTTGTCATGTGTTAAAACATGCACTTAAACTTGCCCAATATTTAATTGATTCTTGACTCTTCTGTTCGCCTGCAGATAATATTTGTGGCGATTCTTCTCCAGAGTAACCTGGAATGTTCAGAGCCTCTTCTTATTCCCATTCTGTCTCTGTACATGGGAGCTCTGGTGCGGTTCACTATCGTGGGACTGGGCTACTACTGTAACGTCCATGACAACATTCCTGAATCAAGCAGCCTCGAACTGGGGGTATGTTTATCAAAAAGATTTTTGCAGACAGATCAGAAAGTTGCTTCCTATATTCAGACTACTTTTGGTCACTTCCAGGGCGATGTCACCGTAAGGAAGATGCTTAGTTTCTGGTGGCCGCTTGCCCTCATTTTGGCCACTCAGCGCATCAGCAGGCCCATTGTCAATCTGTTTGTCTCTCGGAACCTCAAAGGCAGCGCCGCATCAACTGAAGTGAGTACTGATGAATGATAGTATGCACTACAACACACAGCAGCCAGTTCTAACCAAATTGTGTGTGTTTGCTAGGCGGTAGCAGTACTCACAGCAACATATCCGGTTGGTCATATGCCCTACGGATGGTTAACAGAACTGCGTGCCATCTATCCAGCTTTCGATAAGGTAGGTGAAGGTTTTAACTAGCAACTGCATAGCAGCACCCTGGCAACCATCATGAAAGTCACAGCATGTTTTTTACAGACAAAAAAACAACTCATTTAAAAATGTAGGTCCTATCCAACTTCTTAATGTATATTATTGTCTTTTGTTGTTTGGTAAGAGATTTATGTAAGACCTTAGTAACTTTTATTTGTTTGGTTTGTCCTGAGGCTTTGGAATGTTTTTTAGTCAACACCCTATGACTAGTTTTCACAATAAAATGTTTCGTCCTGCAGATAATTATGTACCATTCAAAGACCTACAACTCTCAGACTAACATGTGCCTGATTCAACATGTTTAGGTTTTGCCCCTTTCTGATTTGAGACCAATATCAGCTTTCTGTTGTATAAGAGGCATTAGGTTTTAATTTTATGATTGTGTGTTGGTGAGATTGAGTGAAAGATTTAGGTTGGGCAGAACTTGTTTTGTATCTTCTAAATGATGTTTTTGCTGTCACTAGCACTCAATGTTCTCCTGGTAGACAAGAAAGATAACAACATGGTTTTCATTGTTGATGCACATAGTTGTGTAGTGGGTGTGAAAACATCTTTCTTGTTTTCGATGGTTTGATGGATGGTGCCGAATTAGTATGTTTTAAGTATGCATTGAATGTATTATATTGTCTTATTCAAAAAATGTTTTTTTCCACACAAGCATGATGGCTTAGCTTTATTATTTTAACCTGTATCATTTGGAAGATAAATAATAGTATCTGTACTTCTTTTTTTTTAACAGAATAACCCTACTAATAAGTTAGCCAGTGGTCTGACGGTCACCAAATCACATATCCAGAGGTTCACGCTTTGCTCTTTTCTCCTCTCCTTAACGGTAAGATCTATTAATCATTAAATTAGACATTACAATATATATATATATATATATATATATACACACACACACACACACACACATATATACATATGTATATATGTATTTATTATGTACATGAATTGATTAAAAATGACGGTAAAGACATTTATAATGTTAAAAAAGATTTCTATTTCAAATAAATGCTGTTATTTTGAACATTCTATTCATCAAAGTATCCTGAAAATTTTTTTTTATGGATTCCACAAAAAATATATTAAGGAGTACAGCAGTTTCAACAATGTTATTAATAAGGAATAAGTTACACTTTAATCTGTATTTAAAAGAAATTTTTTTAAATTGTAATATCATTATTATTACTGTCTTCACTGTATTTTTGATTGACTATATGCAGCCTTGGTGCGCATAAGAGAATTTTTTCAAAAACATTAAAAAGCCTTACTCACCTCAGACATTTAGATGGTAGTGTTGGCTTTTTTTTAAACCTCAAGATAAATCATGAACATGCTGTTTAGCTTTAGGTATAGTAGCATGTCACACCGCAGGACTTGTCAACTTTTTCTTGTTCAGTATTTATAACTACCCTTTTACATTTAATCATTTACAGTATCTTTTATCTAAAAAGTATCATTTTTTTTTATGGATTCCACAAAAAATATATTAAGGAGTACAGCAGTTTCAACAATGTTATTAATAAGGAATAAGTTACACTTTAATCTGTATTTAAAAGAAATTTTTTTAAATTGTAATATCATTATTATTACTGTCTTCACTGTATTTTTGATTGACTATATGCAGCCTTGGTGCGCATAAGAGAATTTTTTCAAAAACATTAAAAAGCCTTACTCACCTCAGACTTTTAGATGGTAGTGTTGGCTTTTTTTAAACCTCAAGATAAATCATGAACATGCTGTTTAGCTTTAGGTATAGTAGCATGTCACACCGCAGGACTTGTCAACTGTTTCATGTTCAGTATTTATAACTACCCTTTTACATTTAATCATTTACAGTATCTTTTATCTAAAAAGTATCTTTTATCTAAAAGTATTAAAAAATAATATAATTAACGAATTGTGCAATATCATGGCACAGTTGTCACTGCTTAAAAAAAAACACACACAAAAAACAAATGCTGAACCTGAATTACATACATGTATCCAGAGTATTATTTCATAATGTTTTGAGTTTCAATTGGTATGTCAAGTCTGAGTCTGTTCAGATCAGCTGCTCAAGTTCCAACATAAAACATGGATCCTCTCCTGCACATGAAAACAGCGTGCATTTTTCACATGCCATACAACCAGTAAACACTACGTTGATCGTAAATATTTTTTTTTTACTTGTCCTGCTCTGACCTCAAGGCCTGCAGAAATGAATGATATTTTTGCAATTTTACACATAATAATCCACGATGATCACATTACACAAAACTGAAATTGCACGTCAAAATAACACATTGTCAATATTTTTTGAGACCCCCCAAAATTTCACAAATCACGTTTTCAGGGAAGCCCATGTCTTATTAAGGGGAGCCGAGCTCCCCCTAGCTCCCCCGTAGTTCGCATCCTGACCACCAGGGTTGTAGGAAAGCAGATGTCAGGCATATGGTGAAGCTTTTACTTTATCAAGGACAAAAAATTATGTAAAATCTAAATTATTATTATTTTTTTAAGATGCAATGAGAAAAAACAATGTATCCATGTTGGAAACAGACAAACAATTCTCAGAAAAAAAGAAACTAACGAGCTTGGTTGGACGGGTTGCAGTTTTTACCATTTGTTTTTGATTTCTGTCACATGATTTGTAGGTGTGTGTTGTGTAATTATGGATTAGAGGAATGAAAAAATTGAAATGAAGAAAAACATGTGGGTAGATCTTACACACCCACTTTTCTGAATGGAGATACAACACCTGTGCCACCAGTGAAGATGTCTCAAAACAGCCTGAAGATCTTTGGCAGCTTTCCTGCTTCTTGTTTCATAATGACAGTGGAGAAAACAACAGATCAAATAATCTTGCAGAGAATATTTTTAACAAACCATGCAACAAATCAAAGTAATTGCATAAAAGTTATTTATTTTTATTTTATTTTGAAGTGGGAGAGAAATACAAAAATGTTGCTGCTTCAATTGCACATGTCTACAGGAATTCCTAGATTATCTTGAATTCCCATAAAGGACAATAACTACAGAAAAGCTCTTTGATATTAAAACTGCAAACTCATAATGTTTGCAGTTTGTCTTTATAGCCCGGGTTGAGCATGCATTGATGTGCTGATCCTTGTTACAGTACACATTTCATTGTTTTTGACAGTGTAGAAACATCCATCCACACATCCATCGTCAGTCCGTTCAATACGATTGGTTTGGATTTCAGTGTAAAAGGCAGAAGAATAAAATAAAAGTACTAAAGTGATCGTGGCTAGAACTGTGGTGAGGAGTGAGCAGTGAAGGTCAAAGCCAAGTGCGCACTCAAGCACATGGCCTTTAACTTGGTCAGATGTGGAGGACCTTTCCCTGTAAACAGGCATGCCAGGCCTTTGTCAGACTCTATTCTGCCAGAAAAGAGGAATGTCCGTATGCAGGGCGTCAAGCAGGCTTAGCGTGAGACAATTACATCATCTGGTCTTGCTGGAATGTGAAGTGTCTCATAACAAAGACACAGTCAAAACTGACTGGCACATCCAAGATTAAGGATAATGAAGGAGTGAAACTAAATGTACACTAGATATACTAGACATAATGCATATGATGGTGCACATTATTATTTCATTAGTGGCACTACAATAGGTTCACTTTGATAATATTAGATATGCATTGCTATTCAAAAATTTGAAATCAGTGTTTTTTTTATTTATTTATTTTTTCAGCAAGGATGCATTAAACTAATCAGAAATGACATAATTGACAGTACTGTTACTTAAGCTCCAAATAAGCATATTATATATATATATATATATATATATATATATA